CGAATGGATTTTTCTCCGTGTCAGAGAGGATTGCCGAGATCTCGGAGCCCGAGCTTGTAGCTCGGTGAACTTCGGATTCGATACATTGATCTGTTGGTGCAGTTTCGCCATCTCGGACTCCTGCTCCTCGGGAGTTTTCTCGGCGACTGGTGCTGTGTTTTGAATGTTGTTGCATTCTGGTGTCTCGAAGATCAACCACCGTTCGAGCGGTGTGGATCCTGCCGTAGTTGCGGCTGCTAAAGTGTTGAGCTGTTCGTCGTATTTGGCCTGCTGGGCCTGGAGGGTGTCTAGCTTAGATACCAGACTTTGTGTGAGTGGTAGCAAGGCTGCCTGGATTGCTGCAGCCAGATCGGCATCGAGGACGGGGGCCGGAGGTGTTCCCGCGGAAGTTGGATCGTGATGATAGGGTTGTCGTGCTCATCAAGAGCAGGCGTATCAGTACGCATGGTAGTATCTTTTGTGTTAGGGGTGAGGTCGGTGAGGTTGCTGTCGTCGGACGTAAGGCTCATCGCTTCGGGTCTTCTGTTGCTAATTTTAAGAATTTCATTATCCTAGTCCCTATAGACGGCGCCAATTGTTGAACTCAAAAATCACCACTAGGGTTTGTGATTATTGGTTGTGGGTTTTAGAGAATAAGATCTTTATTAAATAGCTCAAAGATGAAGCGATTACAAAGACTGGTATAACCGAGAGGTTATACCGAAGTGAAAGGAAAGTGTTAATGCGATGAACTAGAAAGCTATGAGTTCTTAGGTATTGCTCTGCTGCTCTCTAGATTGTATGAGTTATTCTTCTTGTGCTCTGTGGTCTTTTTATTTATAGAAATATGAGGTCGGTTGCAGCGAGCTCCTTTTCCTTTTCTCATTTAGAGAATATTTTTATATTTGCGATATGGAAATATTCCTTAGTCTCCGAAGAATATGAAAATTCTTCCTTATCCTTCAATATTCCTTTGAGCTGATCTGATGCTTCGGGAGTTTTAAGATTATCTTCGAGGTTTTCCTTTTTAAAGCTATGTCGCCGCGGTCTCCTTAATCTTGATGGGTTTAGATTATTACTAGAGAAAATCTTTTAAGAAATGTGTTCACTTACCCTATAATAGTGATGATGAAATTCCTCTTTGTTATTATGATCATTATGATCAGTGCCCCAAGACCTGCAAGAAAGCCCCAAAATTTGTTAAGATATCACAATAGCATTAATAATTTGCCACAACACACAACATTATAATCAATCCAAATTTTAATGCTTTCCCTTTAACAAAAACCTAAATAAGCATGTAGAAAAGAGAGCTCAATTATATAGCTAAATATCATACAAGGAAGCGGACTTTTGGTTTATTTATACCTCAAATATATAAATAAACTAGGTGTTCGGTCCGTACCGTGTGTACTATAAAATATTTTATATGTTATATGATTAATATTTTATATTAAATATATTTTATTGGTATATAATTAATTGTGTATTAATAATATTATATAAACATTTAATAATTAAAAATAACAATAAATTAAATAAAAAATGTTATAGATTTCAATAGATATTGTAGATAAAAAAACGTTAACCCAGATTCTTATAATATGTTTTGAATATTATCTATATTATATTTTTTTTCCTTTGCACAATATAATCTTGTCAATATATATATTTTAAGTATACATTTTTCCTTGATATATTGCAAAATAAACCAAAATGAGTATTATCATCACTACTTATCCTAAGAGCGGGTAGATGGTTGGTCCGCACATTCGTATGTACCAACCACCTCACCGCTCTTAGGACATAATTTTTTTAATAAATATTAATTGACTAATAACTAAAATTAAAATTAGACTGTAATCGAGATTAGGAAAATGTATGCACGACAAGTTTGCATGCGACTTTAATTTTTGTACAATTAATATTTATATCTACACGCGTATTTAAGAAAAAATCAAAGTATGGCTTTTATGTGTTAAAATAAAATATTAAAATATATGTTTTATAATATATATTTTTATAATGTATGATCAACTTTTTATATAAAAAATATGTATATTTATGCACGTAGGTATGAGTTATAAATAAGTGAATTATAATATTAAGGTGTTGGTTAGTTTTTCTGATATTTTCTGCAAACGTTATAATTTTACACAATACAATTTTTGGCGTTTAACAACAATCACGAAAACCGTTTATATCGTTTCGTATTTAATCAAAATTTCTTATTTTTCGGCATTTTATAATATATGGTTTTTCAATAAAAATTATAATAAAAATTTGTGAATTCTTATTTTATAAAATTCTCCGGTAGCACTCCGTTCATCTCTTCGTCAAATTATTTATAGCCTGCAATCGCGCGCTTCCACAAACTCCCTGTAACTGCAGCATTTAAACCAGTCGGATCCTAAACTTATATGAATATTTAATTATTACATTACAAAATAAGAATTTTCTGTTCCTAACTTTGATATATGTTTTAATTTTATATATAATAGATCATAATATATACATGAAATAATATTTTAAGATGTTTAAAAAATATATGAATGAAAGAATTAATATGTGTAAGATAATATTTTTAAATATTTCAAAATAAAACATAAAATCGATCAAAAATATTCTTTATTTTTTGTCTTCTTTGACTCATATTTTTTTTCTTAACCTTGAATAATATATTAGACATTAAGATCATCTCCAATGTATTTTTCTATTTTTTCACTAAAATATAGGTTGATTTCTCTCCAACCTACTTCTATTTTGAAGGAAAAAGAAAAATTGTTATTTTTCCCATTATAGAAGAAAAACTAACATCCCTATTTTTTTCTTTAAATTAGAAAATTTAGAATAAAGGTGGGTGAGAGATGCTTTAAACTAAAGACATAGCCGGAGAATTTTACGGAAAACCAAAATCGTAAAGATCTATTATTACTTTTATTTCCACTTCTTATTCATATGTTTATTTATATCAAATTATTATAATAAATATTTGTTATAAAATTTGTGAAGTCATATTTTATAAAATTCTCCGGTAGTTCTCTGCTCATCTTTTTGTTCAATATTGAGGAATTGGTATGATGAAGAAAATAAATTTTTATGGTTGGTCTACACACATGTATTCATTATAAAATTTGAACCACACATGCGTTTATTATAAAATTTCTTTCTTAAAATTTTAAAAGACTTCGTAAAACAAAGTTTGAGAGTGTTACAGAAAAAAACTGTAGAGATTTTTTTACTTCTACTTCTTATTCATATTTGTTTTTTATTTATAATTTATTTTTTTACTTGGTTACATTGCGTTTTATTTCTGATCTTAAATTCTCGATCCACAATAAGACTGTATATGAGTATGATATAGACTTTTAATTTATTTAAAAAAGGATACGAGATATCTTGAGATGGTAATGTAAGTTACGCAAATTTCAGAAAATAATAATATAAAAATGTTAAAAACTTATATACAAATAATAATATATCATACTCTAAAATTATTAATATATAGCGTATATATTATCTTATTGGATAATATATTATTTTTTCTATTTAAAAATATAAAATATATGTTAGTTGTAAAATTTTTATAATCATATTTTATGCAATTTATTATGAATATATGTAAAAATAAATTGAAATCATATTAATTATTATTTTCTGTTAATTAATTTGTTTTTAGTGTTATAATTTAGTCTATTTATGTTATAATTTTGTAACTTATTTAATTATAATTTAACCAATCAAAATATTTCGTTTATTTTAGGAAATTTGCCATATCACAATTCCATGTCACCATTAATTTACACTAACTTTTAATAAGATGATGCCATACATTAATTTCAGTGTTGATACATACAAAAACTACAATTTTCATTAATTTATACATCAACTAATTAATATTAGTTAAATCATACGATGACCATTGATCAGTGATAACGTGTATAACACATCAACTTTCATATCTGAATCATTTCACATAATATGTCACATCATATTTTATATATTAGTTTTCTTTTACATTTCTTTTCGATTTTTTTAATTCACACACTTAAATATTAATTAGGTAAATTTTTTCAGAAATTTATTAATTTTTATTTAAGTTGGTATATTTATATACTAGTAAAAAAAAAGCATTTGATAATACAGTATTTATCAATCGACAGATTTTAATTAATCGATCTTGCTGTTAATAAAGATATTATTATATATATATAATTTCTTTGAATAGTATAGTTTATTGTGTACCAAAACTAGACAAAACATACTTATCTATATACAAATTTGATTTAATTAATATTAATTAATTGATGTATAAATTAATAAAAGGTTATAGTTTATATATGTATTAGCACTGATGTATAAATTGTAATAAACCAAAAAATTCTGAGAAAGCAGAATAGTACAAGAGACCTAAGAGCACCTGCAATGCGGTACCTTAAGTAAGCTTGTTAAGATATTTAGATGTTTAAATAAATAAAAATTATATGAAAAGACTCGAAACTATAGTCAAAGACTCAAAGCCAAATTCTTCACAGCTCAATCATAAATGCACAGTGGAACCTTTTAATGAAGATGTAAAATAGAGTTACAACAGAAATAGTAAAAACCGATTCAGTGTTTATATGAAATGGAACTATGTAAATGTCTCTGACCAGGTAACAGTGCCTTAAAATAATCGACGTTTAGGTAATTAGGTTTCAAATTTGAATAAGAAAATTAAAATGTCAATAACAAAAAGAAAAGAATAAATTTTATCGCTTTGTTCTCTTCTGATATTTTCCTATTTCTTTGTTTAAGGAAAAAGTGAATTAAGATCTTGTCTACTAACAAAAAAGCAACCTGATTTTTTTTTATACTGTTACTTTCAAATTATTAAAGAAACCTGAACGTTGTAAAAGTGTTCAACTGTGAAAAAAAAAAAACAAATCGTCATAATGATGAGAAGCAAAGCGACAGTTGTAATAAAACACTCCCCATTTCCTTCTCTTCACTCTCTAATTTAAAAAAAAGGATTGGCGAAATATTAAAAAAAAACAAAATACTTTATATATGGAATACAGGGTGCCATTTGTTTCAAATAAGGACCAAAATAATATGTTTTTGAGTTCGCAATATTAAAACAGAAAACAGAGTTAAGGACAAGTCCAAAACTATTTTACTGATAGGTAAAAGATACCTAGTTACACCAGCTTGATTTTCTTTGTTGGTGGTTCATCTTCAGCCACAATTTTAGGTTCTTCCTCCTCTTTTTTTCCTTCTTCCTCTCCCTCTCCTTCATCATCTACATCTTCATCTTCTTTTTCTTCTGTGTTTCCTCCTCCAGAGGAGGTTTCTTCATAATCCTTCTCTTTCTTCTCCAGGTTCTCTATCAGACTCTTCAACTTTCTGTTCACCTATTTATCACACACATTTTATGTTAATGGTTTTACAACAACAAGGTATGAACAAGAATATGCTCAGATATGGCTACACTTTCTACACATGGAAAGTTTAAATCAGCTCAAATTTATTAGCTTAATACAAACTGCTGTGCAAACTCTTCTTACACAACCAAATACGATCTGATATGATGAGTAAAAACAGTAACAAGTTATATGTTGACTGACTATTCGATGTTACTGATAATCACAATTCCAAGGTATCAAATGCAAACAGCTTTTAGGTTCACCAATTCCAATACTTCATCTAGTTGTAGCCGCCTGTTCAAATTTAATGCAGATAAACGATGGAAGAATAAGAAGAAGAGACTTGTGTTACTGACCTGTGGATCCTGGAGAAAGTCGGCAATGTCGTTATTGCAGCAAGGGCATTTCATAACGTTCTTTATAGCACGTAGCGTGCGGCCACCTCTGCTCCTCACATTCACTTGAGAGATCCCAGCAAATTTTGCGGTTAAGCAATCCTTGCAGAAGTTATGTGCGCAAGGCGTTGTCACAGGATTTTTCATCATGTCCCGACAGATTAGGCAACTCAGCTCTGTGTCAACACACACATAAAAAAAAAAACAAATCATGGTTTCGATCTGTTATAACAGATAAAGCTATACATAAGCTCTTTTCCAGAAACCCAACTAAAGATATACTTAGCAGACCTTCCAAAAGTTTGTCTCTGCTACTCTTTCTTCCCCTCTTTTGACCTTTATTCATGTTGGCGAGCTGTCTGCTGGCAGGTGGTGGCTTCACCCATTTCCACGTGCCATCTGCTACCTGTTCAAGTACATGTATATATAAGTAAAGGGAAAAGTTTTATAGACAAGGAACTAGAAGAAGAATATTCCATATCAAGTAATGTATCAAAAATAGAGAGAAGCAGCGGCTTACATCAAAATCCCAAGATGGGCTTTCCTCTCTCTCAATCAGCTCAATGGCATTGCTAAGCTCAGAAATGTTGGGCAAAGGTCTTGGACGATCACCATGCTCATTGCTGCAGTATATTTCAAAGGTGAGCATAACTAGCAAATTCTGAGAAGAGAGAGAAGAGAAAAGTAGATAAAAAACCTTGTCCATGGAGCAGCCTCATTGTCGCATCTTACAAAAAGATAACGACACACCTTAAAGCCCTATTGAAAACAGAAAAGTAGGTCAGGAAAAAAACAAATCCAGCCCTGAATAAAAGAGGAGTTGATGAACAACTAAGGATTGGTAGCAATATCAAAACCTGTACTCCAACATTTTTCCAACACTTCTCAATCCTGTAAACCCCATCATATCTGACAGTTTTCCCACCAATGGGGGCATATGCAGAACGCACATCCTTGTGGGTCCTGGCGAGTTAAAGACAACTTTAGGCACATCGTATGAATCACTAAGCTTAGCTGAGTTCCCAAAGACAGACAATCTAACCTGATAACCCGTACGGGATACCCCATTATGCAACTAATACTCAGAGCTTCATTTCCATTGGTAAACGTCTGGTCAAAGGACTGTTCCTTGTTGGTTCTTTTGTTGCCAGACAAGTCTCTTCCTCCACTGCAAGACACATTCGCACATATTTAAGGCAAAAAGGAAGAAGAGAAAGTCTGCCAAGAAACTGGAGCGATACTCCTTGTATATTTAATGACAGAAGTAACAAGTACTGGTCCAAGCAATCAAATGCAAACCTTCCAGTGTAGAGAAACCATTCTCCGTGGTCTTGATCGTCTTCATATCCACCTGAGAGAGCCACTGACTGCGCACCGTAGGAGGATTGCCCAGAGATTCCAGCCATATGAGAGTTGTGAGCGCCCCATTGCTTACAATCATACCTATCCTCCCAAATATCACCAACCAAAACCCCGCGGTTTCTGGTTGGATCATATTCGGGACCTATTGGACCAAAATGGTCAGAAGGAGAAGTCACCCATCTCTTCCCGCAACACGCATTAGCTTTACCGGCCAATACGGCCCGCTCAGTTGTAAAAGCTGTAGCAGGCCGTTCTTGGTTACTTATATAATGCTGAACCTTTGTGGTAGCCACAGAAGCAGATTCAGAATCCTTAGCCAAACGAAGGGCAGCCACAAGAGTAAGGTTGATCCTTGGATTCTGTACCATCTTGATAGGAACTTTTGCGCGGCATGTCCCACACTTACGGTCCCCTTTTGCTGCCCATTTCTGGAAACACTTGAGGCAGAAGTTGTGCCCGCACGGTGTCTGAAAAGACATACAAGAAAGTCATTAGCAATGTACTTCATGAGATAAAATACATCAAGAGTAAGATTTTGGAGCTTCTTTAACAAACAACAAATTCGCCAAACCTAAACAACCAAAATTAGAAAATCAACAGTCGATCAAAGTGTATGTTTAGTCAACACAAAAACTTAAATCAATAAATGCATAAGGATATTGACCCAAAAAAAAAAAAAAAACAAATGCACAAGGATAATAAAACAATCCAACATCCAACATCGAGATTAAACAATCTAAATGAAGTGAATGAAACCCTAAAACAAACCGTATCCATCAGCGAGATTCAACGATCTAAATGAAGTGAATGAAACCCTAAACAAACCGTATCCTTCAGATCCAACAAGAGATTATAAATGAGTAAATCGAGAAACGAACCGTGACTGGCTTTTCGAGCAATTGGAGGCAGATGATACATTGGAAACTTTCCTTAAGAGCAGCCAAAACATCTGTTGTGTCCTTTTCCTCGTCCTCCTCATCACCTTTACCGCTCAACAGCCTCTGCCTCTTCTTAGCCTTCTGTGCCTCAGTCAGAGACTCATCAGCCTCGATCGCACGGATCGCCGCCACAAGGCTTGAGCCGTCGGGTTTAAACCCGTCGGCTTCGGAAACCGAAACGGGATCGACGACGCCGGAGCAATCGGGACACTCCCACGCCTGTGTGGAAGCTAGGGTTTTGGGAGGGGACCGGAGACACGACACGTGCCACGGCGTAACGCACGTGCTGCAAGTGAGACACTCTTCCGACGGAATCGTCACCTTACATCGCATGCATGCACCGTCGGAATCGCACGAAAGTTGGATTTCAAGGGCCATTTTCGGAGATCTGTGGACGGAAAAAAGGAGCGAGAGAGAGAGATTTAGAGTGAGTGGTGCTGCTTGCGAGATTGAAGATGTGAGGGAAAGAGATAGAGATTCGGGGGATTTTAAAGAGAGAGAGGGAGACAAAATGTGGAGAGGCGCCTTTTGAAAATTATGGGGATTTTCAAACAAATTTAGAAGAAGGAAACATAAAAGGGAAATAAACAATAAAATATCTAATTTTTATTTGTTTTTGTATATATTTTTTTCTGTCTAAAACTGGCTTTGAATATGTATATACACCCAAACCTTAGGTCAGAGAGTTAATACAAATCTATTTAATATCCTATTTTTCTATTATTATGTTTGATAAATATACATTTTTAAAATTAACTGTTTCCATATTTGATAGGATTTATAATTTTTTGTGAGGAAATTGTGAAATATTTTTCATTTTTTTTACTCTCAACATTAAATTTTTAAAATTTCTATTTATTCTAGGTATATATTTCTATATTATTATATATGTAATTAAATAGCTAGATCCTTTTTTTTTTTGAAAAAGAAATAAGATTTTAGAGATTGTATAATGCTTACCCTCAAAGTTTTTGTATACAGTGTATAGGTGGTAATTTAGTGATATTAAACTATTAAGAAATAATTGTATATTATGTAATTAAATTTTAAAAGTTTAAAATAATTATGCAAAGTTATAAGTATATAAGAGCTCAGTTAAGTCTAGGCTAAACTAAGAGCATCAGTATAGGTGATACTCTCATCAAAAGCTCTTAATATTTTTATTATTATTAAAAAATCTACTTTTAAAAAAAAAAAAAAAATCGCCAAATCAGATCTTGCCACCTCATCGAGAGGCGCTCCTTTCGCCCCTGTGCAAGAGGTGACTCTACCTTTTCATCTTGCCATGTCATTTTTTTTTCTTTTTTTTTTTCTTTTTTTCTTTAGAGCCTTATTAAATTTCTCCAATGCTGGTGTCTTAAGGCGCGGGATCCAACCTACACTAATACCAATTTTTTCACAGCTATAATATACCAATTTTTTATATAAAAATATTATATAAACTAGTTTTTTTTTTAACAAACTAACAACTTATTTTATATATTAAAAGTCAAAAAATATATTTTAGTTTATTTTAATTAATACAATTACTTTTTATTAATATAATATAAAAAGTCCATATTTTGTATTTTGCCTAAGGCTCTTGAAATTACTAAGAGGGGGCTGAATCAAACCCAGGTACTGTGGCAGAATACTATTCTACCACTAAACCACTGGTGCTGCTTGTCTACATGTCTTACAATTATTTATTTGATATGAGATATGAGAACTTAAGCGTTATAAATTGTTAGACAAAAGAAATATCAATGGTTAAATAAATTAACCATGTTATATTATTAGATATATAATAATATAATTGGATCAAGAACATGTTTGGTCTACTTCGAAATGATCACTTTATCACGTCTTATCATCTTCCAGCAATGGCCATCGGATCCGTCGGTTCTACCACAAGTCTCTGTCTTGTTAACGAAGAAGTAGTGTCCCTCGTGAAGACGAAAGAACTCTGAAGAGGACCCACAATCCTCCATGGCTCCACAACGTACACTTGCTCGCTTAGCAGGAAATGGCTAGGCCAATCGTTTAGATTATCAACGAGCAACATCTTCAGATAGTACGAGATGATTTCATCCTTTGGTATGATCGGTACACAAAGATCCCACCTCGGCACCAAACGTCTTCGAAAACGTGGGAATATCCATTTAGAGAGAAAGGAGAGATGCTTGGCGAGCAAGGAACTAACATCAGGTTGGAACAGAAGACGAATCTTGCAGATCAATTATACATCAGGTATATGGGTTAACCGCATGCTCTTATTATGCATCTCTCTGCATAAATATACAATTTCTACACAAAAAATAGCGCTCATGGATTCATATAACCGCTCAATCTGTCCATGAGAATGAACAAGACCACTTGTCTAGAGACAATCTCGCCTCTATGACCCTTTGCCAGAAGGAGTATGGACCGGTTAGTGATCACTTGGGGTTCTTGGTTAAGCAAACCGTATAACCCCAAGCCACCATGTCCCACGAGGTTTTACCATTGGTATAAATATAATAACCAAGACAGCAGCTGTATATATACTGGTGTTTCGGGTAGTGTTTATCCGATGTGGGATAAATTAAAATAGATTAGCTCACAATCTAGATTAAGTAAAGTCATGCCCAACTCACATGCACATCATCATCCTGTCCCAAAAGACTTTAAGATTGCAAATCCCTAATTTTAATTTTCTCCTTTCTTCTGTTCATCCTCAAACTATGCAACTAGACCACGTCAACTATACTTATCTATTCGTCTTGTAAATAGGTAAATTCAAAAGACGATGATACAAAAGGAGAGAAATTCAAAAGCTTATCACCCCTTTTGTTTTCCTCTTTCGTTTATTTACCTATTCGTCTTGTAATTTTGGAAACACGTAACTCTAACATAGAAAATGAATTCTGAACATAGATTTTGTTAGAGCTGGATTTCGCACCCTAAATCCGGCCCACTCAAACCCAACAAGCAGATCCAAACTAAGCATAAATTGGCTGGGCTTTGTCCGTACAGCCTAGAGCCATTCTCTCGCAACGATCCAAACTTGAACAATCAAACGATTCGTTCGATGAACGAGCTCAACTCGACGAAATTCCGAGAAATAAAGAAGGATCCGAGCCAAGTCAGAGCATATTCTCGCCAGTTCGAACGAGCCCAAATTTCACGGAGGAAACCGCTACACGTGGCCGAGATTTCCGGCCGAAGCTTCTGCACGTGGCCAAGATACACGCTGGAGGTTGAAGTTCGACGAGACGAGCTATATAAAGGACACAAACTACTTAGTTCGGGGAACCTTTGGCTGGACCATCTTCTACACTTTCTAAGACACAAAAACTCTGTAACTACTCTTCGAGCTTTTTTCAATTCATCTCTTTCAGAGAAATCTTTGTAACCGTTTCATTCGACCGATTAATACCAAGTCTTTATTTCAGTTAGTGCTAGCTTATACTGTCAATCTGTTCGAGAGAATCTAGTCCTTAATTCTCCTAAAGTTCTTTCCTTACAAAACACATAAATTTCTGAGTATGAATTTCTGTATCCACATTTTGGCACCATCTGTAGGGAAGATCTATAGACTTCTCTTACTCAAGAGCAGATCCTAAGCCAGCTGAAACCAAAATGGATTCAACTCAACAAGCCTCGGGAAACGTCTCACCGATTCCGATCTCTGCAGATCAAGTCACTCGGACTGGCAACGTTAGACAGCCGGCAGAAACGAACCCAGGGTTACGACTTTCGTCGACACCACCGGCACGAACTCCAACGTTCCCAGCCGCGTGGAACCAACTATGATCAACCTCGTCACCCCACCGAAAACGATGAGTAACCAATCACAAACAGTCGAGAAGCCTGCCTCTCGAACATGGGTGCAATCTGAGAATCCCCCTACAGCTTCAATATAATCAACAAGACAACAACTGTATATATACTAGTGTTTCGGGTAATGTTTATCCGATGTGGGATTAATTAAAATAGATTAGCTCCCAATCCAGATTAAGTAAAGTCAAGCCCAACTCACGTGCACATCATCATTCTGTCATAAAATACTTTAAGATTGCAAAACCCTAATTTTAATTTTCTCCTTTCTTCTGTTAAGTATGTATTTCTATATTGTTATATATGTAATTAAATAGTAAACTAAAGATGGTGTTTTAGTGATATTAACTATTAAGAAAATATTTGTATATTATGTAGTTAAAATTTAAAAGTTTATAAATAATTTTGCAAAATTATAAATATATAAGATATACTAAAATCAATTTATATATGTATCACTTTAATCAATCATATATGTAATAGTCTCTTGTGTGTCAATAATTCATATTAGCATGATTAAACCATATGTGTTAATTATCTATTTTGATATAGTTTAATAAATATATGGTAATGGCACAATCCAATTGATAAATAATTGAAGAAAAAATATTAAATGTTTCACAAATTATTTTTAGTGTAAATTTTGTAAATATTTTTTAGTAAATAATATTTTGTGATTTAAAAAATATATATATATTTTTTGACAATAACATGAAAAATATATTTAAATATAACATTGTGAATCACATATATTTTTTATTTCATTTATTGTAAATACTTTATTGAGATAATTTTTCAAATATTATATTTGTTGGGTCCGATTTTACCAGGCCCAAAGGGAACTCGACATATGAACATTAAACTGCCTTAGACTCTGACACACGCCATGCTAGCTTGGCCGAACCACTCTGGCGTACTGTTTTCGGGCAGTTGGCGAGCTTTCCAAACACGCAAGAATCATCATCACCATCTGCTTCCCTGGTGCATGGAATGGAGAAGACAATACATGGAGATTGCTAGTATAAAAGGAGAGGACCACCATAGAAGAGGAGGATCGCGGATCTGAAACCCCTCTCAAGGAGGAGGTGACCAACCGAAACCGAGTCAACCGGCCCCGGCAAGCAGCACGATCCAAGGAGAACCCTCTGTTCTCCCGAATGAATGCCTTCTAGGATAAGTCCTTCTTGATCTGGAATGTTGCCTTTATACTAGCCGATCTTCTCCCTTCTGTATAGATTACCCCTCAAAACACCCATAAACAGATATATGTTTCGATCCCCGAATGAGACTTCTCACCTTAAACCCGTAGAAACACCCCTCCTGAGTACTTGTTCCAGGTAAGACGTTCATTGACTTGGGCGTCGGAGAACCTTACGGAGGAAAACCCCCTTTCGATCTTCCAGGAGGCCCAATTGACCTCTTGTGTAGTATTTGCAGGACCTCACACGACGACCACCCTGTCACCAGGACCCAAACAGGCTTCCGCCCCGGAACGAATTGTCGCCTTTCCCCTAAAGGATGAAACTCGGGGGCACAGCTCCACCACCCCCCCCGGGCAAATTACACACCCCCACCTGGCATCCCTAAATTTACTCCCGAACAGTTGGCGCTAGAAGGAGGGAGGATCATTGGCGGGCGTTCCATGAAGGCAG